GTGCCGGCACGAACGATACGTTAGCTTTTTCTTTTTTTGAGTCCAAACACACTTATATTATTAAACAGTAACATTTCGTCGGGATAACTCAAATTAGGCAATAACGTTAGTCGGAACAACTCAAATTAGGTGGATTTAGAAGCCACACATGGCGTCCTAGATCCAAACCAAAAACATGTTTGGCGAGGCCATGTGCCTCAAGACTCGACTCGCGTAGAGTGCCGACGACATGCTCGACCATGGGGTCGGCAAGAGTGGCGTAGATCCAGAGGGTCGCGTGGGTGTCTAGCTCGACGTACTGAGAGGTGGCATTGGGAGAGGGAGGGTGCTCGATGAGATAGGTGACGCCATAGTGGATGAGCACCATGAGGAAGAAGAAGGACTTCCATTTTTTGATAGTTGTGATCGCTGGGGTTTAGGAGGAATTTGCTGTTTTTTGCAATATGGTCACTGAAAATGGGGTGGCGAGGGGCGGGAGCCGACGAGGTAGTGGAGGTGAAGAGGGGTGCAAACTGAGAACCAGAGGCAGCGAAGGTAGCATTGAGAAGAGAGGGGTTGGGGCCGAAGATGAACTGTGGCGAGGATGCTGTGGAGGTGGCCGAGGCGGTGGCAGACGTCGTGGAGGAGGAGAGTGAGCCTGGCGACGTGGCGGACCTCGTGGCGGCGGAGGAGGCCGAGGCGGTGGCTGGCGTCGTGGAGGAGGAGAGTGAGCCCGGGGACGTGGCGGAGGAGGATGAGTGGTGCTCGGCCGTGGGGCTCCTGGTACTACCTTCGTCCTCGTTTACAAGTCCCTGTCATATTTTGTGCCAAAGTTTGACGACATATTTAACTAGCAAAATGTTAATGCATGTCATTGAAATTTATACTATTGGATTCATATTTGAATGTAGTTTTCATTGATATTATTTTTGCTACGTATAACATGTATTTAGTTAATTAAATCATGGTCAAAATATGACCCAGAATACGAGAGGGGTTAGTAAACCATGACGGAGGTAGTATCTGTTGGGGAACGTAGTAATTTCAAAAAAATTCCTACGCACACGCAAGATTATGGTGATGCATAGCAACGAGAGGGGAGAGTGTTGTCCACGTACCCTCGTAGACCGAAAGTGAAAGCGTCTTCACGATCCGACCAATCAAGTACCGAACGCACGGCACCTCCGAGCTCAGCACACGTTCAGCCCGATGACGTCCCTCTAACTCCGATCCAGTCGAGTGTTGAGGGAGAGTTTCGTCAGCACGACGGCGTGGTGACGATGTTGATATTCTACCGACGCAGGGCTTCGCCTAAGCACCGCTACAGTATTATAGAGGTGGACTATGGTGGAGGGGGGCACCGCACACGGCTAATAGACGATCAACTTGTGTGTCTAGAGGTGCCCCCCTGCCCCTGTATATAAAGGAGCAAGGGGGGAGGCGGCCGGCCTAGGAGGAGAGCGCGCCAAGGGGGGAGTCCTACTCCCACCGGGAGTAGGACTCCTCCTTTCCTTTTTGAGTAGGAGTGAAGGAAAGAGGAGGAGAGGGAGAAGGAAAAGGGGGCTACACCCCTTGTCCAATTCGGACCAGAGGGGGGGCGCAGGCCTCCTTCCTTTTGACGTATCTCCTCAATTCCCGTATGGCCCAATAAGGCCCATATACTCCCTGGCGAATTCCCGTAACTCTCCGGTACTCCAAAAAATATCCGAATCACTCAGAACCTTTCCGAAGTCCGAATATAGTCGTCCAATATATCGATCTTTACGTCTCGACTATTTTGAGACTCCTCGTCATGTCCCTGATCTCATCCGGAACTCCTAACTCCTTCGGTACATCAAAACATATAAACTCATAATATAACTGTCATCGTAGCGTTAAGCGTGCGGATCCTACGGGTTCGAGAACTATGTAGACATGACCGAGACACGTCTCCGGTCAATAACCAATAGCGGAACCTGGATGCTCATATTGGCTCCTACATATTCTATGAAGATCTTTATCGGTCAGACCGCATAACAACATACGTTGTTCCCTTTGTCATCGGTATGTTACTTGCCCGAGATTCGATCGTCGGCATCTCAATACCTAGTTCAATCTCGTTACCGGCAAGTCTCTTTACTCATTCCGTAAAACATCATCTCGCAACTAACTCATTAGTTGCAATGCTTGCAAGGCTTAGGTGATGTGTATTATCGAGAGGGCCCAGAGATACCTCTCCGACAATCGGAGTGATAAATCCTAATCTCGAAATACGCCAACCCAACAAGTACCTTCAGAGACACCTGTAGAGCACCTTTATAATCACTCAGTTACGTTGTGACGTTTCGTAGCACACAAAGTGTTCCTCCGGTAAACGGGAGTTGCATAATCTCATAGTCATTGGAACATGTATAAGTCATGAGTAAAACAATAGCAACAAACTAAACGATCGAGTGCTAAGCTAACGGAATGGGTCAAGTCAATCACATCATTCTCCTAATGATGTGATCCCGTTAATCAAATGACAACTCATGTCTATGGTTAAGAAACATAACCATCTTTGATCAACGAGCTAGTCAAGTAGAGGCATACTAGTGACACTCTGTTTGTCTATGTATTCACACATGTATTATGTTTTCGGTTAATACAATTCTAGCATGAATAATAAACATTTATCATGATATAAGGAAATAAATAATAACTTTATTATTGCCTCTAGGGCATATTTCCTTCAGTCTCCCACTTGCACTAGAGTCAATAATCTAGTTCACATCGCCATGTGATTTAATACCAATAGTTCACATCACCATGTGATTAACACCCATAGTTCACATCGACATGTGACCAACACCCAAAGGGTTACTAGAGTCAATAATCTAGTTCACATCGCTATGTGATTAACACCCAAAGAGTACTAAGGTGTGATCATGTTTTGCTTGTGAGAGAAGTTTAGTCAACGGGTCTGCCATATTCAGATCCGTACATATTTTGCAAATTTCCATGTCAACAATGCTCTGCACGGAGCTACTCTAGCTAATTGCTCCCACTTTCAATATGTATCCAGATTGAGACTTAGAGTCATCTGGATCAGTGTCAAAACTTGCATCGACGTAACCCTTTACGCGAACCTTTTGTCACCTCCATAATCGAGAAACATATCCTTATTCCACTAAGAATAATTTTGACCAATGTCCAATGATCTACTCCTAGATCACTATTGTACTCCCTTGCCAAACTCGGGGCAGGGTATACAATAGGTCTGGTACACAGCATGACATACTTTATAGAACCTATGGCTGAGGCATAGGGAATGACTTTCATTCTCTCTCTATCTTCTGCCGTGGTCGGGTTTTGAGTCTTACTCAGCTTCACACCTTGTAACACAGGCAAAAACTTTTTGAACTACTTCAAAATCTTGTCAAAGTCTGTACTCATTGAAAAACTTATTAAGCGTCTTGATCTATCTCTATAGATCTTGATGCTCAATATGTAAGTAGCTTCACCAAGGTCTTTCTTTGAAAAACTCCTTCCAAACACTCCTTTATGCTTTGCAGAATAATTCTACATTATCTCTGATCAATAATATGTCATTCACATATACTTATCAGAAATATTGTAGTGCTCCCACCCACTTTCTTGTAAATATAGGCTTCACCGCAAGTCTGTATAAAACTATATGCTTTAATCAACTTATCAAAGTGTATATTCCAACTCTGAGATGCTTGCACCAGTCCATAGATGGATCGCTGGAGCTTGCATATTTTGTTAGCACCTTTAGGATTGACAAAAC